TATTGGTGCAGAATCTCCATAAGCACTATTAATTTAATGACAGACAATGAAGAGATTTAAATTAAGCAGTCAGCTATGGTGAATGTTTGCTAATATCAGTTTCAACTGGAACGAAGTCCAGCTTTCATTTTTGCAGATGTTGTCTATATATGCAATCCTTCTTAAATTGTAGATATGCTCCTGTGACCATATTAGTACAGCAAATGAAGAAACTATTTGTTATAGCACAAATGATGTATTGGGTTTGAACACGCTGTCCGATAGCCTCACGAGACATTTTCAAAAGCATTTTGCTTTGGCTATACCATTATTTCTTATTTGGCTCACCTAGCAATATTATTTTATTCTAAAACTTTGCAACCCCAGTACTGTCAGGCACTGGCAATAACAGATTATTATCTTTTTGTTTAGCAACATTGCTCAGCATCGGAAATTAAGAGTAATCAGAAAAGAAAGTGGAAGAAATAGCATTAGAATTACTGTGAATTGCTCAGGATCTGAGCCATACTAAGGAGGATTTGTGAAGATGAATGTACATCGTGTTAATTCTATCAGTCCGAGAGCTGTAATGTTACCTTCTTTCCTTGGAGAGTAGAGTGTTGCCTGAACTGCTTGACTGATCAATGGGTTTTGAATGAAGCTGTGTTTCTTGGGACCAAACAACAGGATGAAGAGATGAAAAAGACCTTTTAGAGATCATTCAGTTCACAGCCTGGCTGATGAAGGATTATTTTCCATGATCTTTAGTTTAGTTCTAAAATTCCCAACCAACAAAGTTCCTACAACAACTGTAGTTTACTCTCAAAAATTACCAATATGTGATAATGTATTAATATATTGATATCTATATATAATATTAATATATTTAGAATAAAACAAACCAGTCTGATGACCTGTTATGCATTTGTTTTAAGTATATAAACATCTAAGTAGTGACACAACGAACAGGACTGTTAATGCTTCTGTATGGCAGAGACGAGATGGAAACCTGAGGCATTTATTCAGAGTACAGGCAAAAGAAGGAAGAGGAAGGAAAGCAACCCTCATGCTGGGACTTCTTGTCAAGTAATTTTAGAATGACAGCAAATGCATTTCCCCTGATACAGAGGCACTCACTGCAACTTACTGAAATGCTCTGGCAACAATACTGGAGATGACCAAGCTGATACCAGGTGCTGTAAGAATATACCATGAGTCTGATTTGCTCTGCAGACAGACATAAAGGGAAACGGACATAGAAAACTGAAACTATTAGCCCAAACGTGTCAACAGCAGAGCCAGGATTAGAATCCACCTCTAGTAGTTACAGCGTCCTGTCTACATAGAGATATATAGTATTTCTATTAGCAATTATGTATGGATACTAACAGTTTTTCAAAGTTAAGTGTTTTAGACCTTAATTTCTCTAACATGAAGACTTAGTTATGCTTGTCATGAGGAAGCCAGCAAGTCCTGAAAGGGGATATTCAGGTCAACCGTTTATTATTTTTAACAATACATAATTACTTAACATTGTATATGTTCAGCTTAAAGTCCATAGACAATATTGCCTGTTTGTGACACTCCAACAGTACAGCTAAAGCCTATACTCTTTAAAAATGGCCACTAGTGTTGAGATCCTAGTCACTGGATGTCCTTCATTTTTACAGGGGCTGTGTACTCAATGATTTTAAATAAAGGGATCTGAATATATGGAAACTATAGCTTAGTTTTCTGGAAACTGCCAGTCATGGCGACTCCTTTGCTAACCAGTGAAAAATCAGGGCCCTATCAGCCACTTTTTCAATGAGCTATGTCTTAAACCTGATGATTATTCCCTAAGAAAATCCAGAGAGACAGTAACAAAGCTAAAATTAGAAATCAGGAGCTGTAGCTTCCAAGGCAATGCATATTATGTGACATTTTTTCAATACCACAGGCATTTTCTGTTAGCAAAAATGGCTTACAGAATATATTCCACAGTGTAAAAATCTTCCCTCAAAACTCAGGGTTGGATGACAACATGGTGTTTACTTACCAAATTTCAAACCCCCAACATTTAAAAGAAAGAGTGAAGAACAATATAAATAATTAATTCTGATGATTAAATAATGCCTATAGCATCACAACTTGTAGTTATAATGGCATCACCCAATCTATGCAGTTGCTTTCAAAAATAATATATGCAGTCAAAGTAGTAATCTATGGAGGTACCATAATCTGTTCAAAGCACACACACAATTAATAATTTTCCAGAATATCTGCATGAAAAAACCCTTTGCTTATATATACCTAATGCTGGAAAGTACAGTCTTAGATGGTACATTTCACTGTTCACAAAAAGTAGTGAAAATTATCTTTAAGTATGAATCACAGTACATATTTGAAGAACTTGGCTGCTAACAGCCAAAATCTAGAAAATGGAATTTTAAGAACAAAGAGAAATGGTTTACCTCAGGGATATTCCAGCAAAATGCTTTGGCCCTTGTAAGCTCTCCACACCCAGCAAATTACAAGCAAATTAGGAACTGCACAGTTGGAGAACGTCACATTACAACCAGCTAGAGCAAAGCACCATTTGCATATGGAGGCTCTCCACTGAGCAGCATGGTCTCCAAAGCTGATGGGATAGCTCTTGTTTACTCTTAATGCAACAGTCATAAAGCTCTTTAAAATGGCTGTTTACAGCTAGATAGGTAAAGCCAACATTTTACCTTCCACTTAAGACTATGCAAATATACTGCATTCTGCATAGTACAGTTTGGATAGCTTAGTCATGCCAGACAAGACCTTAGCACTGGAAAATGTATGGTTTAATAGACTCGTAAATTTAAAAATAATTATTCTAGCATTTGTGTAGCAAAACAGCTTCTGTGCACCTACCAAATTTTCAGATCTAAAAGCAATTACGAAGACAACACAGCTGGGTAACAAAATGAGCACTGAACTACACGTTGGGCATCTCCTGGAAACAGATCAGGATTACGGTTTTGGCGAGACCCTGCATTTCTTCTTCTTTTCATCCAGACAACTGTATAACCCTTTTGGGTTACTCTTCTACTTACCCCCGTGTTATGTTACAAGGCAGCGCTCAGGTGACCTGGCCATTTTAATTTCACGTTCCCCCTCCTCATCTTTGTCAGGGAGAAGTGATAACATTATATTGTAGGGAGAGAAGGGCGATTAAGTCTGCGAAACCAGTTAGAAACATTCAGATAAAACTGGCATAGTTGAGCTTCTGGAAGAAGGCCAGCCTGAACTCAATTTATCCGGGGCGAACACTTTTTTGGGGGCGGGAGTCGGGGGCCGACAGAAGGGAGCTGGGAGAGAGGAGGGCCTTTCCAGAGGCTTGCCGAACACGCTCACGTCCGCCCGCCTCACACATCGCCTCACACAGCGAACGCGAAGGGCCGCGGCAGGGCCGGCACCGCCGCCCGCCCCGCAGTCCTGTCAGCCCCGGC